TTATGCATTCTGATGATCCCCTTACTAGCATTGATTCAAGGCATTTTAAAGACTTCTCGAGATCAAATATGACAGCTTATTATAGAGTCATATGATAATCAGATTTTCAAGGATCAAGGATTTCAAATTCTCCATTGTGAATTTCATATTTTTTGGCACTAACATTCCAGTTTAGTCAGCCTATGGTGTTTAAATGATGAACTTGGTTTATTGTTCAAGGTGCTGTTCAATATCACGATTCATGTGATAGGTGTCAACTGCCGAGGAACAAATAACTAAATCTGACAAAAGCAGAAAGTTGTATGGTTGTCATCATAATTTTTAACAAAATATAATATACCCTTGTTTGATGTCATGTTCAATCTGTTGTTGCCTGTCGTGTTGCCTTCACTAGTTTATACTCCATTTATTATCCCCCGCGAAACGCATTTGCGGGGGATATTAAATTGGGCTCCGTCCGTCCGTGGGTCCAAGTGGTTTTCCGAGCTATAACTTCGAAACCGTTCAACTTAACTTCACAGAACTTCCTATATATATTGAGTTGGTGCCCTAGTTGTGCCTTTTGCTAATGGCGACATTTCACTTTTCATATTTTTTCTGTTACCATGGAAACATAAGTCAGAAAACACCAAAAGAGGGCTTTTCCTGGCTGTAACTTCGAAACCGTTCAATTCAACTTCACAAAACTTCCTGTATATATTAAGTCATTGCCCTAGTTGTGCCTTTTGCTATTATCGGCATTTCACTTTTTATATTATTTTCTGTTATCATGGAAACATAGTCAGACAAAAGGCCTAAGGGGCCTTAACGGTCACCTGAGGAATATATGTCTGGGAATTTTAAAATGTTGCAAAAATGTAACAACACTTGTGCAGGACCATGTGTAAAACATCTGTATCAAGTTTGAACATGACCCACCCAATGGTTCTTGAGAGGAAGTCCATAATGTCTTAGTCAAACAGAGGCCAAGGTGGCCATCTTGGATTTTGAATCGCCCCAAAAAGTTAAAACACTTGCCAGGACCTTGTGTAGAACATTCGTATCAAGTTTCCCCTTTTCCCCTCTCCTGGGGCCACGCCCTTTTTCTTCGCAAACTTGAAGCGGCTTCCCATGGGGATGCTTCTGCCAAGTTTGGTCAAAATCCATCCACTGGATCTTGAGAAGTAGTCATTTAATGAAGGTTTTTACATATGGCCCCTTTTACACCCCTTATGGGCCCCAAAGGGGACATTATCACTTTTTTCAACCTACTTTCATATGTCCTTCACTAAGGGATGCTGTCTACCAAATTTGGTTGAAATCAGTCAAAGTTGAATTTTCGACCCTTTTGAGCGCCCCCTAGTGGGGCCTTTTTTTTTTTCATTCGCAAATTTTGTAGACCTTGCCATAGGGACCCTAAATATAAAATATGAATTTAATCTGACTGTTGGTTCATGAGAAGATTTTTACAGATTTACCTAATTTTACCCCCTTTTCCCCCCTCCTGGGGCCCCTATTAGGGCCACGCCCTTTTTCTTCGCACACTTGAAGCAGCTTCCTATGGGGATGCTCTGTGCCATGTTTGGTCAAAATCCATCCAATGGTTCTTGAGAAGTCATTTAAAGAAGGTTTTTACATATGGCCCTTTTACACCCCTTTTGGGCCCCAAAAGGGACATAATCACTTTTTTCAACATAATTTCATATGTCCTTCACTAAGGGATGCTGTCTACCAAATTTGGTTGAAATCGGTCAAAGTTGAATTTTTGACCCTTTTGAGCGCCCCCTAGTGGGGCCGTTTTTGACCCGATTTTTTTTTTCATTCGCAAACTCTGTAGACCATCTTATAAGGACCCTAAATATCAAATATGAATTTAATCTTACCGTTGGTTCATGAGAAGAAGATTTTTCAAGATTTACCTAATTTTACCACCTTTCCTCCCCCCCCCCTCCTGGGGCCCCTATCGCGGCCACGCCCTTTTTCTTCACAGACTTGAAGTAGCTTCCCATGGGGATGCTTTGTGCCAAGTTTGGTCAAAATCAATTCAGTGGTACTTGAGAAAAAGTCGAATATGTGAAAAGTTAACGACACATGACGACAGACAAATCATGATGGCAATAGGTCACCATGAGCCTTTGGCTCAGGGGACCTAAAAACAGCAAAAGAGGACTTTTCCAATCTATAACTTCCAAACCATTCAACTCAACTTCACAAAACTTTCTGTATATATTAAGTCATTGCCCTATTTGTGCCTTTTGCTATTGCCGTCATTTCACTTTTTATGTTTTTTTTTCTGTTTCCATGGAAACATAGTCAGATAAGTTGACATATCAGATAAAAGCCACTTAATTCTTAAAATGTTACATATTTGATTGGTACGATGTGTCTAACAAATTAATGTCGATATACTGCAATGGAATTATTATCTCCCCTTCTGCCATATGTTTATAACATCATGCTGTGGTTACCAAGGCATTATGATAATTGTATCGCCTGAAGATAGCCGTTATGCCTGAAAACGTTACTGAAATACATTTGTTGTGTTGATTCTATATTTTCAATTATATCTCTATATGTATATCTATAATGATGAAGTTGAGGAGATGTGAGTTTAATAGACCTTCACGTGCAAAGTACTGATACATAAGTGTGTGAAGTCTCAAATTATTACAGTGCTATATATAGCATATCATACAGTTTTGAACATCATAGAATATATTTGGGAAGACCAGGTTGGATGGGCTAATGCTCTAGTCTTTCACCTGGGCAAATGGGGTTGGATTTCTCCTGAAAGGTATGGACCTGCACGACCACTAGAGTTTTCCCTGGGTACTCAGGTTTCCTCCCACAGTATAAAACACTTCATATCCTTGCATCTGTGCCAACAAGTGTGATTAATATAAGTTTGTATCATTGTATGATCAAATATTTTTTTCAGTTCCCTTGAATCAGTTGACAATCAGAAACAAATTTCATTACTTTTCATACAGTAATTGTAGTTTGGCACAGAACATGGTAAATAAGGGTTACCAGAAATATCTAATTATCTGTAACAGTTGATCATTGTCTAACAAGAACATACCTTAACATAATAATTCTAATGCTGAAAAGCAAGTATACTCAGCACAAAACGGTTAACCTTTTCCTCATACATTGTACTACAACATAGCAATATTCAACAGCTGAAAAGCAAGTATATTCAGCACAACTCATACATTGTACTACAACATAGCAATATTCAACAGCTGAAAAGCAAGTATATTCAGCACAACTCATACATTGTACTACAAAATACATGTAGCTATATTCTTAACAAAATCAGAAAACAAAATTCATGTATATAATGTCACATATTATTTATTCAGTTGTTGTTTGTCAGAATGACACATAAACACCAACTGATTGATCTGACAATCAGTAAAATCAACAAGTGGGAAACCTTTCCTACCAAAAACAGCTGAAGAGGATGATACAGAGAATCTTGTACTACTTATAAAATAATGATTCACATATATAAATGCAAGCACTGAAAAATGCATTTGAATAGTCACATTTAACTTGCAGACAAGTAGCATGAGAATGCTATACGTAGTTATGAGATGCTCTAAAACAACATAGGTCACATAATACTGATGATAGTGAAAATCCTTGTATTGTAAAGAGATCCAACTTGTATTACACTTCATGATACTTAAACAAATAAATGCAAATTCACATATTTTATATGCTATAATATTCAAATCCAGTGTAGTATTACCAATTCAGCAAGGTTTAAATTGTGTTCAGCATCAATGACAGAAAATAATGCTTACCAATTCTTTTTAAGAAACAGAAATCCTTCTGAAAGTAATCAAGGTGACAGGATTGTACATTAAGATATATAAGCATGTACATTCTCTGTATAATAAAATCTACCCTTGATACAGAGCATCAGACCCACATTAGTCAGAAGAAATGGTAAATGATAACTTAAGAAGTATTTTCCTGGTTTTAAAATGTCAGTCTTTTAACGAGAAAATGTGTATAAAAAATGAGATTAAAAAAAAAAAAAAAAACAAGAACACAACCTTTACATCATGGTCAAGCATTCTCTTGATCATGGTGTAAATACAAAGACCTACAGCCAGAGAACATTTATGTAATATACACATCTGATCAACACACTAGCAGAATTTTCAAAAAGTTGATTAATATATGAAGTCATGAATTCATGAATTCAGTTAATGTTTGCAAAACATAAATCTACATTACCATCAGAATTAGTCTTAATTTGACAGTAAGTTTAGTAAAGCGGGATCCAGATAAAAACAAGCTTATTCAAGATGAATAGTTGTAAACAAAACATAAAGAAAGCACTGTTGATCCTGGTATTACACACCAGATCATTATCAGTAATATTTACATCAGATGAGGTGATTGTCAAATCCAACATTTAGATGAGAACATTACTATCATTCATTAACATCAAACAGAAAGATACAAAAAAGAGCATATTACTTTTATTCGCTATAATAAACATCAGAAAAACGACAAATGATCCCAGATTCCATAAAATCCATACTGACTTTCCACATGTACACTCATTTTTATACAATCATATTTAAATATCTAGAGTAACAAAATGAAAAAGAACATACCTACTTCCAACATGCCATCCCATCCCATTTTTCCATTCTTCAAAATGATGCAAATTTCATCAAAAATTTTTTTTATCTTTCACAATCATTTGAACACATTCATTGTTTGTTTTTTTCGTTTATTTTATTTTCAAGAGAATACCTGGTAATCTTTTTCTTGGAAAAAACACAAGACAGCAATCAAGATCTGTAGTCTTTATCATTGCACAACACACATCAGCTCTGATAACATAATACATGAAGAGCAACTACTCAACAGAAATTTTAGTATGATGACATGTGATAACAAGTACATGAACAAATGCAGGAAATGGATTATCTTGTGCGTTTTTGTTGCCGACTTCTGTAAATATCATGAATAGGTGGTGCTGCTGTTTCGTTGGTTTCTTCATCACTTTCCTCTCCTTCTGTGATCTTGCGTTTTCTGCCCATAGCGAGATCTATGGAGAATTGTGTGCCAGTATCTGGTTTGCTGTCAACCCCATTCTCTTGAGAAATAGGAACTGTAAAAAACAAAATAATGGCTGTTATCAAGTGATATATCAAGTATTATGGAAAAAACAGTGTGCCTAAAGCAGTTTGGTCATACCATTCTACCATGTTTGGGAAAAATTGATTTTCTTTTATACTTACTATCAGGTAACACTAGCTTCTTCATATGTTCAATGAAAGCATCCATAATTACAAAAGGTCCCTGAAAAAAAAATTAACAGAATAAAAAAAAGTAGCTTTGTGCTTACATGTTAATAATCACTATACATGTAATCTATTTTTATTTTGAACTCTGATCTCCCAAAAATGTGTATACAACAAAGTCAAACTGATATCTATTGAAGAAACTTGCTTCACTGATTATAAAGTAAACACCATCTGTTGCATCGGATGCAGGCATTTTGAACAATACCCTGTAGTAGCTGGTGACTATGTAAGGGAGGCCCATTGAATGTCATCCAGAAAAATTAGGTTTAAGTGCCTTGTCCAACAATACAGCCAAACACACACCCCAACAAACAGATAAGTTTCTGAGCTTTGAGAGAAATGCAAACTATCCTGGGTAGGGAATGTCGAACCAAATGAGCTTTTGTTGTCGCACACCTCCATGCTGATGAAATTATGATCATTCTGTATTATCATTTCAACAGTAACTTCCCTAAATGTAAGATGGTCACTGTCTTAATTGCTATAGACTACCAGACTTATGTACAACTGAAGTATGATGAACTCAAATTAAACTGCCAGGTGCTGTATACAGGAAAACCATTTGTCCAATTTATTTTTTTTTCTGTCCTTGCACAAAAATTCATTTTTAGCCAAATTTTGTAAAATTTGCTCCAAAATCCACACAGACATACAAAAAACAATTGAACCACATACAGTATACTTAAAGCCATTACCTAGATGAATTACTGGGCAAATCTATACAGAACAAGTGCCAGACATTAGCTAAGGCAGTAGGTCTTCCAGATGTTTGCAGTTTATTGCATAATTTTATATTATCTAATTTTTCAAATTTCAAATAATCTGGTGAAACTTCAAAAATAAATTTTGAACAAGCACATCATTTTGAACGAAGTTTAAAAAATCTGAATGTCAGTTATGTAATCCTTGTTATGCTATCTCCAGAAGTTGAATCACAAATGCTTCAAATATATATCATTTATCAAGAGATTCCATAGGGATCTTGATGCCCATCCATCATTTGATTTTTGTTTGTTCTTCAAAAAGTAGATCTTTTCCCTTCTTTCCTAAGAAATAGCTATCATAATGTTTAACTACCAAATCCATAAGGGTCACCTGTAGGCCTTTTTGTTTTTTGAAACAGTCCCAAAGTTCAAAGGGTGCAACTGGAGACCATGGGGAATCTGAATACAAAATTTGAGAAATCTCTATCCAGTCCTTCTCCAGAAATACCATTACCAAATCATGACAGTCAAAATCCAAAACAGTCAAACTATTGGCAATCTTGTTTTCCTGTTAAGTCTAAAAACAGACTGATGCAAAATTTGGGACCATGGCAACCTGCATATTTAATTTGAGAATGATTCATCCTGTGTTTCTTCAGATCACATTATGATCACAATAAGGAGGGACAGACAGATGAGGAAGGGCAATTTGATTAGCCATCTGATGATAGTGGGCTAAAAATAACTGTAGTCCTGATTCACAGGTACAACAACTTACATGGAAACATTCTGGAGGTGGTAGCTGTGTCATCAGATTAGCAGCTGAAGGAGGTGGAGGAAAAACACCACCATCCACAATGTGTGAACCATTAGCTAAAACAAAAATAACATACTGTTAAAAGGTCTGTTGTCAAATCGTAGTTTATAGGATTTTGACACATACAGGCATAATAAAGATTAACATATTTGTCAGAAATACTGGTGAATTTGTGAGATTTTCATATGTATAAATTGTAACAGACAACAGCATTTTCACAAAGAACCTTAAAAGGTCTCAGCAAAAAAAAGTAATGGTTTTGTTGCAAGTAGGAACTCGTATAATACAGCTCACTGTATTGACCATAAAGACAACCATTGGTCGCAATGAAGAATGGTTTATGAAAGGCAAGTTCTGATACCTCGGTAAATAAAAGCTGACTTACGTATGACTATTCTGGGTTTGAAGGGCAGCATCTGTTCGACATCAGGTTTGGGGTATTCTGGTGCCTTCTTTCCCTCCTCCTCCTCCATCACCACCTTGGTCACACTGTTGGAAGGTAGCTGTACTACCTGCTGTTTAGCCAGGTCCTGGACAGATAATTTGATCATTATTGAGAGATTCATTTCCTTTTTTCAGTAACATAAGTTTTTTACAGAATGTCCTCCCCTCCCAATCAATTAATGCAATAAAACAACCACCTTTATCTTATCTAGGAGAAAATCTTTTTCACCAGTAGAAGCATTTACATGACATTTTGCTTATTTAGAATTGTTGAAAAAAAAACACAACACAAATATATCATTTGTTAATTCATATGCCTTTGTAATATGACTAACATCACAGAATGAATCACAGCAAAGTTGGCTTAGTGTCTCATTTTTATAAATGAATCTTGTGGCATACAGTACTACTGATTTAAATCAACTCGCAAATAAAAGAACAAGACAACATTTGAGAAAACTTATGGCCACAAATTTGTTTGTCCGAATATGTCGACCTGCTTTAGTAAAGATCTCCATCTTGCTTTCAGGGTTTATAATTAGTAGTATGAACAGTAAACAGAAGTCTAAAACAGATGTGTCATTACTGAATGGGAGAACATTTAACTGTGATACAACACTGGTATATAAAAATCAGTATTTGGAAACTATAAATAGCCGTGTCTCAAATACCATTTATGGTGATCTATCTAAAGCTACCATACTTACATAATATCCCACAGCCTTCAGTTCACTTGTAGTACAAGGATATAGGTCAAGGTATTTGTACCTGTCTATCAACAACGCTGTATCTTTTCCTTCAAACTCCTGCACCTGTAACACAATCACACTCCCATTTCATGATATATCTTTGAAGAAAATTATATTATATTTTATATTTGCCTGCAAATAAGCCCCCTCCCCTCTTTTGACAGTCTTTTTTGAACTGGGTGGGGGGGCTTATTTGCGCTAAAATACGGTAATTCATAACAATATCATCAAAGTGATATGATAAATTTTCAGCAGATTAATGGTCCTTGTAATTCAATTTAAAAAAAAACAATTTGTTTTTATTATAGCAGAAAAAAGAAAAATGTATGAACACTGAAAAACAAAGTTACTGTTCAAATTGCAATTGCATGTGATCAAGACAATGCCTTTCCTCTCTGTAATTTGGTTTACTGCCTTCTCATTACATAACCTAGTAAATCAATAAACCTAATAAATCTTTGACTGGTAAAAGTATTTATAATCTTTAATACCTTTTCAATGGCCTGAGCTCTTCGTTTTTCCACTTTCTGTATACATGCTAAATCTCCAACTTCTGATTCAAAAGCCAGGAATCTACTCCAAATTTCACTGAAATAGGAGAATTTGAAAAGAAAAGAAAATTTCCTTTAGTGCACAACTGATTTAATTCATTTTCAAAAATATCTTCATTAAATGCAAATATGTTACACTATTAGTAACAAATTGATATGTTTAGGTGTTGTTTCTATGACTTACATGGACTTCTGTGGGGGGATTTGTCCAGAAGACAGCACTCTTTCATACAACACTCTTGTATTGTTATCCTCTGTAAATTTAAGTCAGTATCAATCAGTTTTCATCTAAAAATTGTTTCCAGTGATAACATTCCATAGATTAGCACCAGAATAAAGGCATCTTGTAGCTATCAATAATAACAGATCTGTATCAGTTTTTGACACCACAAATTTTTCAAACTGCTGTTTTAAATCTTCTACACTAAACAATGCTTTATGTTAACTGATTTTCAAAAAATTTACTTCGGTGAAATACATGAATGAAATATATAGAATTATAGAAACAAATTATACACATATGTAGATTTGATACCTGGTATTTAAATCAGGACAAAACTGATTAAGACAACCATGCTCTATAAATAACTTACCATTGAGGTGAGACATAAACTCCATATAACACAGCACATACTCAGGACATTCACCATACTTCTTTAATCCCAACTCAAAAATCTTCAGGGCAACATTTTTTTCCTATGATGAAATACAAAATATTCATAATTCTATGTTCTATAGCTATTATTGAAGTTATTTCTATAATATTCATCATTAATTGCTAAAATAATAAAGTTCAATTTATTTACACCACACAAACAAATAGGATTACTCACTTTACTACAATAGTACTCCATAAGGGCAGCAGCTACAAACACCTGATACTTGGTGCGACTGTCCTCACGTCCCATTTTGAACACAGATCGAGCTGACTTAATCCCCTCAGCTCTGCGGGCAAACTTCATGTACTGGATGTACGACTGCAATGGTAACCACACCATAGCATAAATGCTTTAGAAAAATGTTTACATTAATAATTACATTTAAAATGAGCCCTGCTCTGTTCCTGTCTATATAAATACTTTATACTTCACTGTATCAGATATTCTTTTTTCAAAACATAACCATGATGTGTCAAGAAATTGGTAATTTCTGATTGTACACATGCATATAGCGGTGTAACACTACATTAATTTTCAGCAATTAGAGATGTTTTGGTAAACGGTTTAAAGAGGGGATGGAAGACAGACCGATGGATTAATATAGGGTACATGCATACTTGATTTTTTATTTGATGTAGAATTAATCCAGTATACACAGCAAATGAACATTTAATGCCTTAATTGTTGCTTTCAAACATAATGATGATAGGAAATTGTTCATGGAAAATGCTTAGATCATTCCAATATTTTCTTACAGGTGTCTGTGCATGGGGACGATCAATGTAAACAAATTTCAGTCAAGCCTTGTCCTTAAACAGACTTCAAAAGAAACTGAGACCATAAAATTCCCTATTTTGGCTTGTCTTTGACCATAGAAGCTGCCCACAGTTAAAGTATGGATGATAAATAAGTATGGACAAAAGGCAATTACATTAAGTCAGAAGAGACTTGGTCCTCGATGAACTAACATTCTGTGTTGTAATAAAGTTTTCTTACCAAGGTTGGATCTACATCTTGAACACTCAGATTCCTTTTATATATACTATGGACTTTTTCATACTTCATACGGCTCTACAAAATAAACCACATTAATAATGGCTATTAATCAATTATTTATCACATCCATAAAATCATCATAAAAATCCATATAAAATCTTCAGTTAAAAAAAAGTAGAATAAAAAATTAATTATATCAAATTGAAAACATTACAATGGAAGTCATGCTTAGCAATGCTACTTCTGGTTATAAGAAGTAAGTGTGAACCATTGAGAAACAGAATAAAAAACATAGCAGAATGATGATATTAAAAGGTACATAATTAATTATATCAAATTGAAAACATTAAAAAGGTACATACTTCCTCAAAATCAGCATATGCAAAATAAACCAACATGTTGTTTTTCATGAGCGTTGTGATGGCCCGCTCATACACTGCAGCTGCCTCATCAGCAAACATCTTCCCTGCATTCTGATCCTGTTTACAATTTGAAAAATAATAAAAACAACAATTCAAGAAGTCATTTTCCCAAAATATTGTCAGTGTGCTTGTCTATGTGTAGCAATACTTTACTGCTCCCATAAAGCATCCAGTGATCAAAAATGAAAATTACTATTAAATAAACATTTCCAATAATTTAGGGTTTACCAACACAAGGTTGTGGCGATTTGCCCTCATGATTTCTTAGCCAGCTTTGTAAAATTCAATTAAAACCCCATAGGAAGCCCTATTTCTGTTGTTCATTTTGCCAGAAAAATAAGCTTATTGTAAACTGGTTGAGCACAGGGACACATGTAGTCTTCATATTGAAGTATTCATTGCCAATTTTATTTAAAAGACTACACATAACCATGTGGTTATAAGGACAGTCTGGTGCTTTTGTTTTGACAGCATTGCCAAGGTTGATTACAGTTATTTAAAATCTTCTTTGGCTTCATATACAAGTGACCAAATCAGTGAATTAAAACATATCATCACCTTAAAGTCACTCAACACCAACACCTCAGAATCAGATCAAATCTCATTTACCAATGGAGCTTAGATTTGGTGTACAATTAAACTTCATTTCAATTCTGGAAACTACTGAAGACTCTGGGTCAATTTAGAGCTTGAATTCTGTGTACCATTGAAATTGAACTCAATACACTGATGTTGGGTTAGGATTCTGGGTCTCTTTAGAGTTCAGCTAAGAATGATTGAATCAGTGGTTCTGTCTACTTTCAAGGATTATTTTATCTAATAAATGGAATGTGTACTTACTCCTTTCTCTGTAAGGATTTTACTGGATTCTTCTAAGTAGGAAGCAGCCTCATACCATATGTCTGGGTGGTGTCCTAAGCACAGCAAGCTCTGCTCATAGGCAAACATCACTGCAACAAATCACCTTATTACTTACTATAACAAGAGGACAAGACAACCATGTCAAATAACATAGAGTAGCTCCATAATAATTCCAGATACGTTAAATTTTTTTTATAACTTTCTTGCCAAGCTCACAAAGAGCTTTGGATGGCCACTCTCTTTTTTACAGCTGAATACAATTTAAAGTTTTGATCATCACTAGTGATTGACAGTTTTCAATATATCAAAATGTTTAACATCAGTTTGATAATACATTTTCTGATAAAAAGATAGTCTACAGCCAAAATGTGTTGGGATGATTTTTATCTGTGAAAATTTGTTAAAGCCAAACAGAATCTAAGAGTGTATTTCTCCAGTGTCTTTTGTTAGTGGAAGTTTTCAGAACACTCTGAGATATAGTGGTAATTGAGAGATGACGTAATTAGTATGAGGGCAAATCAAAGTTGAACTACCAGTTGTATATGTCTTTACCTCGCCGTGTGATGAGAGCATGATCCTCTGTCCTTAAAGGGTTGCCTTTCTCCCACGCTATGTACTTCTTCCACAACTCAACCTTGGGTATCATAATAATCCATTTAATATTATATAACTGTCTACTTCTGGAAGAGTTGTGTGATACACTCAATCAATTTGAACAAAGATCGCAGTTTCAAGTACAATACAATCAGAATTATGAAAAAATGTACGTAATAGTGCTAATCTTAGGTCAGTACTTTTAACCACTCACTGCACTTAATGATAACCTTACTGATTGCAGAGTGTCAATTTATCAATGCCCTGTCATAATTTGAGTAATTTTTTAGTGCACAGCAATGTCACCTCCAGTAATTACATCAGGCTTAGCTGTATGGATACCTGTTGTGCCTCCTCTGGAGAGTTAGAGGGAGGAACTGAGGGCAGACTCTTGTTAAGTCCACGTGTAACAGCTTCATACTCCTTGGCAACCCTTCGGGCATTCATGTAATCTCTACCTCGATCTTCTGTCATTTTTTTGGCAATCAGTGGGTTAATATTCTGTCATAAAAAATGTTAAAAAAGAGTTAAATCACATACATTTTGGGTCTTGTTTGAACACTATAAAATGCTTTGAGAAAAATTTTACTAAAGTCAGTGATACGAAAACATTTGACTGATTTTGATATACTGGAATATTATTTCTAAAATGTATCAACATATAAAGTATGATGACTAACTTCAGAAACTAGATCTTGTTGTTTGCTATAGAACCAATTACCCAGTAAATCAATGGATCAACCGAGTTATTCCAAATCAAAGTCCGAGACTGGGCTTATTGTGGGACAATGCAATAGCATGTTTGTAATTCTACTGATCAGCAAGAGATATGGGTGGGCTTATTACAAGACATAGGCTTATGAGCTTATGAATACAGTAAATGTACTTTAATGTCTTTTGAAATTGTGAATACTACGGCTGAAATTATTTTACTTTAAAATTTTCCAAAACCAAAGGAGATAATTCTTCAACCCTAACACCTACATTTTCATATGCACAGTAATCTTTCCAGAGGGCCTCTATATTGATCATTGGGTTGACTACACCCCGTTGGTAGACCTTCCTCACAGCTGTGATACGCTGGTTCTCCGCATATGATCCAACAGCATCACTGTGAATGCAATATACTAATTAAGTCAAGTTCTAAAAGTAACCAAAATTTTAATTTTCACAGAAACCATGTCATGATATCCCACATATGTCCTAAGCATACAATTTCTAACATCTGAAAATGCCTTTAAGCTGTTGGTTTTTTCAAGGAACCATTTTGAGATGAAAAAAAAAAATGTACAGTAGCATTTTTGCATTCAGGAGCAAATGAAACATACCAGTACTCAGAGTTCTTGATGATATGCAAGGAGGCCACAGCTGATGCCTCAAAATTACCTGGCAGTTTGTGGGTAATAAACCCAGTAAACATATAATGATGATGAGCTTTTCTACTTTTGTTAGTACTCCATACTTACACTGACTTGAGAAAGTTGATATAATCAACCCATAACTGGTATGACATGATGTCCATTCCCATCTTGTCAAGAGCAAAATCATAGGCTTGTGCCATCTTTTCCCTTTAAGAAAAAGGCAAAAAAATGAAAAATGACCAAAAAAAACGAAAATATCTATTTTGAATAAATTTTTTAGCAATTTTTCAACAGTTAAATGGTATTTACAAGCAAATGCATTCACAAAGAGGCAAGGTTGGATCAACTACATTATCTACACTAATTATTTGATTAATTGAAGTCATTAACCACAATTTATAGTTAAAGCAATACCTGTATGATGGCAGGGATCCCTTTGTATCTTTTATGTAGGTCAGATAAAGTTTCCACAGGTCAATACTTAAAACCTTCACCAAACACCGCTGGAACAACTGGAAAAATAGTTACACCATATTCTATAATTAGGTTTTGATAATGTGTTAAGTTATGTCATTAATGCATAAGTTGATATGGTCAAAGTTGATTAACATGTGAAATCGATTGAACTGTTTCAATTTATGGAACATACGAGTATTTCTTAGTCTGGAGCTTTTTTCAAGGACAAAGCTTAATTTTACAGATTAAAAAAGAAACAACAAAAAACACAAGAGTATCAGTGAAACCAATGAATGCTCCCTGAAAACAACTGTATAGGACACAGAATTTTAATAAAGGGCCATAATTCTGTAATTAAGAGGTTACAAGCCCTGAATTCTCTTAACATAACTTATCCATACACCAAGTTTCATTATCCTAGTTATAATGAAATCAAAGCTATGCTCATGACACAAAATTATAACAAAGGGCAGTAACTCTGTTTTGAGGGGTCATGGGCTCAGACTTTGCTCTACTGCACCTATTTTTGTATGATTGATGTATACAATAGATTTCAGTAAACTGGTTTAAATACAGCCAAAGTTATCCTCTGGGCACAAAATCTTAACAAAAGGCAACAAGTCTGTAATTATGTAGTTGCTGGTCCTATCATTGGTACACTGCACATTGTCTTCATATGATCAATGTATACACAAATTTTCTTTATCCAACCTCTTGAATGCATGCTAATGTATGCTCTTGACAAAATATTTCAAACAAAGGACAATAACTCTGTAATTAAGGGCTTGCAGGCCATAACTTTGTACATTACATGCTGTATTTGTATGATCAATATATATACCAAGTTTCACTATCCTACCTTCAATGCAAGCAAAGTTATGCTCTGGACATGAAATTTTAACACATAGGGCATTAATTCTGGAATTGTAGAGTTGAGGGCCTTGAATTTTGTACACTGCATATCCCCTTAGTATGACCAATGTATACACCAAGTTCATGATCCTTGCTTAATTGTTGGCAAGTCATGTTCCACACACAAAAGGATGGACAGACAAAAGGCTATGACTATATTGCTCCCCCAAACATTTTCAGGGAGCATAAAAAAATGCCAGCACATATTAGTGTTTCTCATATGACATATAACTTAAAAAACACCTTCTTATACCGTCTGAATATAGTGGGTCAGAATGTAATAGCAGGTGATGAGAGTTTACATATCTATTACTAATCCTCAACTCTGACTGCTAACTATAGCTTCCTGTAATCTTGCTATCAGTGATAATTGATATCAGTACATATTGCTTACTGAAAAAACAATTCTGTACTAGAACTATTTCCTTCAATGGCTCTAATATGAAATGCAATCTTTCAATTTTTTTACAGTGTACCAAGCTTATTGTCGCAGAACCATATTGACCAATCTAATTTACAAAATTTGATCCTGTTTTGACAAACAATGAGGTGGGTTAATCACGAACAGAGTGCCAAGTCTTTGTTTTAAGCAGATAATGTACAACAGTGAAAACAATGTTACAAATAATCCACTAAAGTTAGAGATTTTAAAATTTGTAACCATACACCTTTTGCACATTCTTGATCAATAATTGTCAGCCTTACGCATTTGCTGATATTGAAAAGAAAATTTTAGGGTTTTAAAGGTGGATGTCTTAAAGATGAATTCCTTTGATTACAAATGTACTCAAAATTTCAATTGGAAGACTTTCTCCTCTCCGTTTTAGATTTATTCAAAAAGGTCACTTGTCATTTGTTGTATTTTTTCATATTCTTACCTTTTCAACTCGTTCATAGTTCTTGGCTTTTAGCTGAAAACAAGGAAAGAACACTTAAAAACTAATTTGATTTTTTGTCAAGTGATCAAAACATCAGTCAAGTTTGTTGTGTTATAAAATAAGACAACCAGAATCCCTTCATCATATAAAGTAGCATGGTCATTTACAAATGTACTTTCTTTAGTAGAATTTGATTTTCAACAAATTTTTAATGCCTGATAATAATCTGCACAAGTTGGAGTAAAGACAGCTTCTACACAAAAAATAAAAAAAAAAAACCTATAAGACTCTTGCAACATTCACAAAGATTCAATGTTCGATAAAATTGAACTTCAATGGACTTTTGTTTTTGTGTGTGTGAAGTTTCAAGAATTCTATTTATAGTATCATTGTGATCTTATTTTACACCTCTGAAGTTGAATTGTCAGACAGGTAAAATCATATTTTCCCATTTGGAATACATATAATATTTTAGCTAAACCAAGCAAGACTTAAAAATATTTAGAAAATGTTTACTCTACTTAACACGTTTGTAAATAATATGTAGATGCAGTATGGTTAAGGAAAATATCTAACAAAAAATCAAATGAACAACGGGGGGGTGGAGACACAATGTCCCGCAAACAGTGAAATCAGGAAATTCCTTCCGGGAACAGTCGTGGATCCAAAAGGATACCGAGTACCCACTATAAATAAGAAGAATAGATGTCAGGAGTAGGCACAACATGAAGCAGTTCCGGTCCAATCCACGATTTATTCTCAGCACGAATAAATTGTGGATTGGACCGGAACTACTTTGTGTTGTGCCTACTCCTGACGTCTAAAAAATCAGATGATAAAACAGCTAAATCCGTCAGATAAAAAAAATGACAATTTTTCTTCAAGTTAATAATTTCTGATCTTATGTAATATACTTGATGGCGGCCTCAAGGTGAAGATCATTATTACCTTATGATAGAGTGCTTAAAAGATTTCTTATGAAGATAAATACCATTACAAAGTGATTATCTTAGTATTCAGGAATTAAAGCAGCTACTTAAGACCAGAAACCTTACATGGTGAGATTGACAGAGACTGTAATCAAGATCTTATACATATCTTAGATGTGTTTCTCAAATAAAGATATCAAAACACATGATTTCCACATAAAAACAGGGTTACATTTGAGTTAGCAGCTCTGATGGCAAATGGTGCAGACATTTACAAATCTAATAAATCATATTAGTATCTGAAGAACTTTTAATCCAAAAAAAAGTACCATAAAGATTTTATCATATACCCAGTTTTGTCCCTTGGACCCCATTCCTCAATTTCTAGGACTAGGGTAGAGCATTAAACTTTAAAACTTTGGGTGAAGAGCTGAGATCATAGATCTTTTGTGCTGTCATACAAGTGTCTTTGGGAAAGACACTGCAACCCAACTTCTCTTTCTAGGATGGAGAGGACTTCCTGTTTATTGTTCAGTGAGAGAGCCTCCACACAAGGAGAATGAGTGAAGCCATTGTAATAAAACCATCTAACCACCATTCCATCAAGATGATTCCAAGGCATCAAGTGAGCATGCTGAGTAATATTATATATAAAACTGTTTCATTTTTTAAAGAGTGAAATGGTTTTGATTCCAAAACAGTGAAAATTTTAGAAATATTTCCCTGTAGGAAGTTTTAAATACTCTCACCTAATCAAACATCATCTTAAAGGTAGATAATCTTTCTTTACTCTTTCCTATTATACAGCTGACCACTCTAAAGGTAGAAGGGTAAAAGCTGTAGGTAATAGAGATGCTTCCTTGGACCCAAGGGTTGTGTGCATATTCCGGGAAGAGGGGATGATTTGAGAAGGAAGGAATAGTGTAGAGGGAGAATGTCTCCCTACTAGCCTCATCAACAGCTAGACAAGTGGAAGAGAGTCTGGCTAGAGACCCCATGGGTCACAATCTTATCTATGCAGGACAGAAAACAAGTCAAGGCTTACAAGCCTTGCTTAGCTAATTGTAATTTCCTTTTAGTCAAGCAGTAAAGAGTCAGGATTGAGATTGAAAGGCTCTTGTTCCAAGCAGGGGCAGGGTGTTTTTCATTACCCCACAGATTTGGTAATATGTTGGCTTTGCATGACAAAAATACTGGACAACATTAATTCAAAACTTTTGGTTTTATTCAAAATTAAGTATTGCATGAATATCAAATTTGAGAGAACAGAGATTAGATACTGCTCAGATATGATTTTTGAACTTTTATAGTAATCATGATACACAAGGTATACATTATTATTTCTTATCTTAAATTTAATTACACCAGGATAATATAAAACAAGAGGCCTAAATAGCCTGCATCGCTCATATGGTATTCAATGCTTTTCACGATTGCATTAAAATTTTATATTGACATTCCTAGGCATTTCTTAATAAGAAGTTGTCCGAGGGTTTGCACAAATCTCACCCCTATGACAAATCATTTCTTTATGCAAACTAGTCATTTAAAGACATTTAATGTTAACCCCTATCACCTTGAATATATGTCAATATCATTTCTTTCTGCAAACATGTCAGTCTTCATTTAAATAACCTTCCAACAAAACACTGATTCTAAGCATTTTGTTTATTGAGAAGATGTCATTTGAAAGTTTAGACAAACCAGACCTTGAAGGTCAAGGCACTGTCCCTGAAACCTAACAGTCAGATATCATGATGCTAAGTCTTTTGAGTAATCAGAAGTCATTTTCATATTTTGACAAAATTTTACCCCTGTGACGTTGAATATTTGTCATGATGATTTCTGTTCTGAAATTTTGTTGGCCTTCATCCCAAGAACCTTTGAACCATATATGATTCTAGGCCTTTTGATTAATGAAAAGCTGTTTAAAGGTTTTGACAACATTGACCCCTGTTCCCTTGAATATATGGCATGGTTACTTTTAATAAACGTTGTGAACAGTTCTTATTTCAGTCAATTTAAAGAAATTGTTTCAAACTTTAAACAATTTTGATCCCTGTTAGGTCAAATATAAGTCAAGTCATTTCTTTTCGAAAATTTTGTCAGTTTTCATTCCAGGGATCTACAAGCCAAACATCATGATTCTAGGACTTTTGGTTAATAAGATGAAGTTAATTAAAGGTTTTGACAAAGTAGAACATTATGACTTTGAATATGGGTCAAGGTTATTCCCCTTTGTCAACTTTTCCTCTGCGAAATCTCCAGCCAGAAAATCATGATTCCAAACATTTTTATTGCTGTGAAGAAGTCACTAAAATGGAAAAGGTGACGCCAGATGGACGACGAGTGTTGTACCAAGACATAGGTTACTAGACTTTTTGGGTCAGGTGAGCTAAAACTTAAGTCCATGGAGTTTGGTCAGGTTCATACAAACATTTATCAAATATTACAAAGAAAATGAGATCCAACGTCCATTATGACATTATTCTGTTAGTTGCTGTAGTCTTCCTAGGGTGGATTCCTAATGGGATACAAGAGTCTGATACAAAAAATTATCTAAATATATTAACTTGTAAAGGATTATCCGAAGATGACAATTTATAATAATATAAAATGATCAAATCACAAATTTTGTCCTATTTTCTTGAGACAGAGCCCTCATTTTTTCAAAGACTTGTAATTTGGGTTAGTAACCAGTCATGAATGTAACTGATTGTCAAGAGATAAACGATCTTGATATTTTACCCCTAATATTAATCCTATTCCTCTTTAATTCAAAGTGGGAAATTGTTTTGTAAAGAAAAACATATCTCCCCTTATTTTCCAAGGATACATACATATCCTATTCATTACAAAACATTCTACATTGATGTGTTAAACGATTTGGCTTTCACCTCTGATCAGGTGACTTGACTGCCGGGCAGAGTGACTTACCATTGTTTCTGTCAATAGGACACCAAAATGTCAAAACAAAACATATATATCAGAAGGTATATTTGATAATATTCTGTTTCTTGGCATTGATAACCTCCTGCCAATAGTCACAGTGTCTTAATTACAGTGCAATGTAAAATGTCTTTTACAACCTCATGCTAATAGTCAGTGTGGTAATTACACTGTAATGTAAAATGTCTTTAACAACCTCCTACTACTAGTCACAGTGTCGTAATTACAAAATGTCATTTACAACCTCCTGCTAATAGTCACAGTGTCTTAATTACAGTGCAATGTAAAATGTCTTTTACAACCTCATGCTAATAGTCAGTGTGGTAATTACAATGTAATGTAAAATGTCTTTAACAACCTCCTGCTAATAGTCATAGTGTCGTAATTACACTGAAATGTAAAATGTCTTTTACAACCTCCTGCTAATAGTCAGTGTGGTAATTACACTGAAATGTAAAATGTCTTTTACGATCTCCTGCTAATAGTCAGTGTGGTAATTACACTGTAATGTAAAATGTCTTTTACAACCTCTTGCTAATAGTCACAGTGTTGTAATTACATTTTAATGTAAAATGTCTTTTACAACCTCCTGATAATAGTCACAGTGTCGTAATTACACAGTAATGTAAAATGTCTTTTACAACCTCAAGCTAATAGTCAATGTGGTAATTACATTTTAATGTAAAATGTCTTTTACGATCTCCTGCTAAAAATCAGTGTCATGAATACACTCTAATGTAAAATGTCTTTTACAACCTCCTGATAATAGTCACAGTGTCGTAATTACACAGTAATGTAAAATGTCTTTTACAACCTCATGCTAATAGTCAGTGTCGTAATTACACTATAATGTAAAATGTATTTTACAACCTCATGGTAATAGACAGTGTCAAAATTACTATGTAATGTAAAATGTCTTTTATGATCTCCTGCTAATAGTCACAGTGTCGTAATTACACAGTAATGTAAAATGTCTTTTACAACCTCATGCTAATAGTCAGTGTCGTAATTACACTATAATGTAAAATGTATTTTACAACCTCATGGTAATAGACAGTGTCAAAATTACTATGTAATGTAAAATGTCTTTTACAACCTCCTGATAATAGTCACAGTGTGGTAATTACACTGTAATGTAAAATGTCTTTTACAACC